TTTACATTTTACAGATGCAATAAGTTAAATGACGGATATTTTGTGTTAAAATAATTTTTTAAGGCTCTATATATAAAACATTAAATAGTAGGAGCAAGGTAGGGGGCAATAAGAGCCGGACGCTAGATATTAGGTGCGAACAAATTTTATATTGTTTAGCAGAAATTAACAAGTCAAGTTTAAGTCAAATCCGCATCTAATATCTAGCGTCCGGCTTATTGCTCCGTTATTGCCCCCTACTTTGCGCCTACTATTTGATGTTTCACATTTATATTCGTATCACTTTGTTTTTATGGAATACGGTACTTTTATCGAACGTTATCGAGCCGACGTTATTTCATGATGAGAAGAAAAGATTTTATACGTTTTCTTTTTTTTCATACATTTACAAGACGCGTCTCCTAAAGATATGTTTTTACATTGGTTGATAGCTGCTATTTATATCATTGTATTATATTAGTATTGCATGGCATCTGAAATGCTCATTATATGTTTAATGTATAATTTGCATACACTTAGTTATGTTTAATCAACAACTTACTTAGAGAAACAAGTATTAACTGTCTGCTTAAACGTGAAAGCTTTTCTCTTCTTTTCCCTTCGGTAAAAGATAATAATTGTAGGAGATAACAACAATGTGTAACTTTTTCATTATATCTTCTCTTCTTAATCGTAATATGCAGTGATGTTATGCGCGCTTGTAATTATTGCACGCGATTGTGCAATCGGGCATTCGCCACATACGAGGGCATTGATCCTCCTGAGACGCTCTAGTTTTTTTTACGTAATACTTATCCGTCGTATTTAGGATGAGACGAGAGATTCCGACTCGTGAATTCGTTGAAAGCGTTAGGCGAACTGGCACAGATATCGACGCTGAATGTGCGAGCAATCCGTACATAAAAAAATCAATAATATTGAAACATTAAATATTGAAATATTAATAATATTGCAAACTTATGCACATATGTATTTGTTTTGGCAAACGCAGGCTAAACTCTGTATTTATCGCGATTTGTTTCCTATTATGTCAAGGAAATATCTTTCGATGATATCAATTACTTCAGGAGCCTGTTTGAATATTTCGTGTTGCATAATACGCGTACACGAAAATATTAAACGCGTTCTTTTCTTGCAACAATATCCACTCGCGCATGTGCACTCTGTTAGCTCTACGTTGTTGATCAAACGTGAGAAGATGCGCTAGTGCAAGCACCAGCCAACAGGTGGCACCAGACTGCTTATAAATGCAGTTGCACTTCCCACAGGGATGGCTGGCCTGCACCGCGGTCATTTAAGCTTAGCAAACCCACGGACGCGAGGCTCGATACATTGCGGGCGACCCCATACATTTACACGTCATATTATACATTCGTGGACACGCGCATTTTTCATGAGCGGCGGTGCAATGAACTTTGAGGAAGTAAAAACGAAATACACGCCAATTTAAGAATAACAAGAATAAAAACAGATTCGATAAATGAAGTAGAATACAGCGAAAGAGATAAATTATTTATTACGGAGATTCGGTTATATCAACGTACAAATTACACATAAATTTAAATCGATCTCCCTCTCCGCGCAAGTAAAGCAATTTTGTATATTAAATTTTGTCTTGTTTTATCGAACACGTAGAGACAAATTGAAAGAAACGCTTGTAGGGTAATATTTCTAGAAATTGAAAAATATTCTTCGTTTATTTTGACATGTTAAGTAATGCCTTGCTATATTTTATCATATTCGGACATTTTTACAATCGAATTTATTTCATGTAGGACTAAGAAAATTCTAAGGCCGTAAATCCGAACGCGTCTAACTGGCCGAATGTTTTCGTTGCTCGTCGTAGATGCGACGAAAAATGTTATCTACGCCACGAACAAACATAATAATTTCCTATCTTTTTCACCGCTGAAATTATACCAATTATAATTTCCATGTATGGTGTATACGTGAATTGACTGTCCGACGGAGTAACGGAAGTTACCAATAAGTATCACTTTTACTCGCGAATTTGTTACGGTGCTTATTTCTAGCACTTTCCTTCCGTGTGCGGCCCAATTCTCGCACGATCTACGTTAAGCGAATGCATCTCGAGCCTATCAATTTTCACTCGTGCATCTACGGGATACTCTATATTTAATAACGCATTCGGCTAACAGATTTCATTCGCTCTATCATCCGTGAAACGCGATTAGACACGCGAATATATCTTGCTGCTCGCCAAGTACCGCAAGTGGCTCGTTAAAACGTCGACCTTTTTATTTTCGTCGCTTTTTATTTTCCCTTTACTCGCTCGCAAGGTTCACGATTATTTACACCTAGAAATCTACTTCGAGACACTTGTACGTGTAAAGTTCACGCCTGTTGATCGGTGTCGGTTCGCCGCCTCGACGAGCGATCAGCTCGCGTCCGTTTAGATCCTCGTAGATGGTTAACGCGATCTTGAAAACGCAACGAGCGTGACACGGCGACACCGGGATCGACGTCCGATCGGTGACACGGCAATTCGAGCGCGCGATGAAAGAGCCATTCAATTACCGGCGACGAGTCGGCGATGACGAGCCGCGAAGTCTCGAATCTCGAAGAAGGATTCGACTAATGAAACGCGACTCGTTGCGCCACGTGCTCGGCCGTGGGTCCCCGTGTCCGTGCATTCGCGATTTATCCACGGTATTAAGGACTCCGCGCTCGCCGTCTCCGCGGTGGGTCAAAAGTTCCGTCGGCTTTGTCGCTCGCCGATGTCAGTCGTCGCGTTCAAATGAGCATTGTTCGTTATCGCGTTACTGCGTGGCCACAATAATCCCGGGACGCGTACTATTCCCCAACTATTATCGCGTATACGTGTGTCGCAGTGTTGCCGCGCGTAAACTCTTTGTTCTTTCGCCGCCGCGTGCGTTGCCCCAGGTAACGCGAACTGTATCAGCGCGCTGGACCGAAGCGATCCGCCATTTTCGCGTCCGCAGGATACGTTTAGCCGCGATCCACTCTCGTGTCCATTTCTACCAATGCAGATCAACTTTAATCTCGGCTTAAATCACTTCTTGTCTTTTTCTAATTCGTAAAGCTAGAAAAAGATACAAAGTAAGTTGAGCCGAGATTAAAGTTAAACTGCGTTGGTAGAAACGGGTAGAAATCTTTTATCGCGTAGTACCGCGAAATTCGAGGTACACGTTAAAATAAAAAGTATACGTAATTATGAGGTACATAAAAATCCACCAAAAAGCATAAAAGCTGATAAAAAGAATTACAAGCGCAAAAACTATATTTGACTGTGTCGGTAAAAAAGATGGCTGAAGGATCCTCTTCTAATTGCACGATATTGTTTTTGTATGTTGTTCCTAGAGTATGCCGATCGCATTTTGTACACATTTATTGTAGAATTCTTGTATCAAGCGAGTCTAATAGATTTTTTGCCTATACTTAAATTCCGTAAAAGAGCTTTGCATTTCTATAAAGCCAATTGAAAGATTACTTGTAACATAGAATGTCGATAAAACAGACGGCTTTAGGATCCCCTCGATGTGCCGCCGTTCGGTAAGATCTGCGTACGCGCCGCGTACATTTTCACTCGGGGAAGGAGTCGACGCCGGGGGAGCGAGTTCGATTATCCCCGTGTCGACGGCGGTGGCGACGACGACGGCGACGGCGACGAGAGGGAAGCGTTATCACGCATGCCCGTGTTCCCCGGCGTCCTCGTTCTCGTCCGCGGAATCGCCTGACGGATATTTTGACAGTACGCCGCCCTGCATCCTCCGCGTCAAGATGCATCTCGATCCTAGTCGTTCGCCGCGGCGGCCCCGACGCGTCGCGAGGGAGGTGGTGCGTCGGACGCGCCGCTTAAACGTGCGCGTTTAACAGCGCCGCTCGCGGAATCGGGTCAGTCGATAGAGTCCGTGCGGGTGTTTGTGCGCGTCCGGAAGAGCGTTCCTCCGTTGGGGTAGGACTGGAGGGAGGTAGGAAGAGGCAGCGGAAACCGGCAACGGGATAACCCGGAGAGGCTCGGAAATCGGATGAATCGTCGCTCGATCTCACGGGGGAGGATGGCCCTCGAGTTGTCGGGAGTTGTCCGTTCCGCCATAAGCGCGACGAGAGGTGATTATAGGTGGTGAACTTCGGAGTCGCGCTCCCCGAGAGGGATCCACGCAGTTCGGACAGTACCGTTTTTCGGCTACGCTCGTCGGGGTGGCCGGGGCGGAGGGAATGGCCGCGGCGTCGCGGCGGGTCCGGACCCTCGCGACGTCTCGCAGCGAGGCGTTGACTCGTTTTTGAGCCAAGTGGGCGGGTGTAGTCGTGAAAGAGTGAAGTGTTTGAATGACTTGCGCGGGAAGGTGGTCGTGTTAACTCGAGTATGCGGATTTCACGGACATGAATACCTCCTCGGTGAGGTGGGGCCCGGCTCTCTCGGCGTCGCCGGATCACCACCGGCGCGGGCGTCCCGAAGTGCCGTGTAAATCTTCCTGAAAATTACGAAGTAATCTTGCGACGGTTCCGTTGAAGAATCAGGTTTCGTTGTGCGCTCTTGCGTGCGTGTGTGTGTATATGTGTGTGTGTGTGTGCGTGCATATGCATATGTATGTGCTGTACGTGTGTACGTGTGTATCTGTGTGTGTATGTGTGTGTGTGTGCGTGTACGCATGTGTGTATTGTGTAAAGTGCTATTCGACAGGATGACGTCTCCTCTATCGAGCCGCCGCGTGTCAAACGCCTCGGAGATGTTGGCGATGAACGCGATCTTACGGGATATACGCTCGCGGTACGCGCGAGACAATCGTTAAATCGTTAATGCAGTTAACGGACGTTGACTGTGTTTTGTGATTCTCCGTGAGAAGGGCGGGGGTCTTTTCCCTGGGGCGGCCCTGGGTATACGAACCTGCTGCGCTCCTCCGCGCCTAACGTGGAACCGTCCATCTGTCAGAAGCGTCTCACGGAACGTGAAATCCCGTTTGGAACCCTTGACGGGCTCTTCTCGCGCTCTCGGATCGGTTTTGAGCTATCTCGGTGCATGCGTTCCGAAGGTGGGCGGATGCCGCTGTCCACGTCAAGGACACGTATCCTCGAGCGGCGCGTCCGAGAACAATGAGGATCTCGGAACGGCCGTTTCGCTACGATGCTGGAATGCCGTGCTGGGAATGCAAGCTCCGAGCCGTGTCGTTCTGCCCTTCGCCCGCGCCGTCGTCATCCGCGTCGTCGTCGCCGCCGTCGCCGCCGTCGTTGTTGTTTAGCTCCGCTGAAACGTACGACCGAAACCTGGGCTGCGTCGCGAATGCACACGCCGTGGGAATAAATTGGCCGGAGTGTTAAGCGAGGCTCGTTCTCGTCCGTTTGCGACGGTTAGAAAGGGCGAAGGAACGGAATCGGCGGCGAGGAAAGAGAATAAGAAGAGGCTAACGAGCTGAACAGGATGAGTCATTTCGATTGGAAGTTGCTGCGCCGGAAGAAGGTACAGTTTGTTAGGCCCGAATTTATCGCGATTCTTTCCGAGCCCTCGGTTCTTTGCACGTCGAGCGATATTGTTATTCGTCGATTCGTTTCGCAAAGTGTCGGCGTCATTTTCAGGGCACAACGATTTGCATTTACTACTTTCTGACATAGTAGGATCTGTACTCTCTAAAAGTCGATCACTGGGGTTGTCACTGAAAACAGCGAAGATGATGGCAGGTTCTTTTTATTTAACATTGATTGTTTACCGTGTCCGATTTACCGAATGGTGTTACCATAAAGTTGCAAGCAATTTTTGGCTCATTTTAAAACGATTTAGCTCAGAAGTTTAAATTTACTAGATTGTATATAGAGGAAAGTCCCCTGTTATGAGATAGACACCTAATGTAAGATCGCGAGGCTTCTGTTAAATTAATAGGCATCATTTGTTGATTCCACTGTGAATTTATTGCCCTTGGGATGAAATCTGTTTAGTGGAAAGTTACGTGGGAATAAAATTTACACACAACTTTATTTTCCCTCTTTTTGAAATAAATGACTTGACATAACATCCAGTGACTGGCTCCCATTGCCTGCATGTTTCTTCTACATCTTCGTCCAATTTACAATCTTGCGTACTTTCTACCTTTATTGTAGAGACAACTGCTGCAAATATCTATTGCAATAGAAGACATAATTAATGTAAAAAAAAATTAGGATTGAAATGACACGCATATAAGCGGAAAGCTTTTAATTCGTAATTTATTTAAACAGAACTTTATGAACTCATCGCATACGCTCATATCGAACAGCTTATACCATTTTGTTTAAGCGTACATTGAATATTTCGCTGCAACACAGTATACGTTTACTCATTCTTCCGCTGCGTGTAATTACGTTGAGGAACAACTGTTGGCGTACCTGCGGGTTAAAAGCGCTATTAGTCAAATACCGAAACATAACGAATGTAAGTAAGCTGCGATTACAAATTACCGCTCGCATAAAAAGCGACATTATTGACCCGCGGAAAGATTAGTACGGCGGAACGGCAGCATATAGTGAGCAGCTCTTGCTGCCGGTTTTCGCGTGCAGATGGATGTATAGTTGGGAATAATAGAGACATTGAGTGCTGCCATAATGACGAACCATTAGTCACCGAGAGAGCCGAGATAGCCGGAAACGCGGAGAATAGCCTTTTGAGGGATTTAAGAATCCGCCGCGCGCTTCGCGCGGATACTCGGAGTTTCATTTCCGCCGTTTTCATTCCCATTGATTCGAGAGAAGACACGGCCATTGTCTCTCAGAATCCCTGCCAATCCCGCATTCTTAACAGACACGTGCGAAGCTAGGTGTATCCTTGACCTCGTGGTATTCCGTTAACTTCCTGTAATATGGTACACCATTCGGCGTTTAACTTCACCGAAAGTTACGCGAGCGGCGGGGAAATAGACCGAGTCATCTCGACTCTCCAAATTGCATCGGAAGATTAACGTGACTAACTGCAGTTCCCGCCAGTTGCCACTTGGATTCGTTCGATAATCGATAAGCCACGGAGGATAAATGAAGGCTCTGGGATCCTCTCGATGAATTGTATATCGAATAATGGAGACGTAGAAAGTGCGTGCTCCGCGAGAGCTGTCTATTTGTTACAAGGCGGGGCGACGCGCGTAGGAAATTACGCTTGCACTTAGGTAGATGCACACCGTCATTTCCGCGCCCGAAACGCGCCCTTCAAAGCGATGACGTTGCGTCAGTATGTCTGATATGCTTTGTTAGTGCCGTGATAATAACCAAACTCTTCGCCTAACAGTCAGCCGGGTGCAGTTTCTTCGAATATTAATGGGTCAAAAAATTACGCTTTCTTTAACAATTTTTTTCACAGTAAATACACCGTACAGTGAAATAAATCTTTTGGGGATTTTTTGGGATTAACCCCTTAAAAGTTATCATTCGAGGAGCTACTTGGAAAACTCTGAAGAAACTGAAAAGATTTCCCGAACAATTTTTCACCTTATTTTGTATCTTTATCGAACTTGTTTTTTTACGCGTATCGGAAATTCTAAAACTCGTTGCGGAAGAATCGGAATATAATTCTATCACAAAAAAAGGAATGAAGGATTAAGAACCGTGACGGGGTGTTAATGTCTACATATTTCATATTACTAAATTTATTGCGAAAAATATTACCTCACCCAGGGTTTGAACCTGGATCTCCCTCTTATGGGGTGGGCGTCTCAACCAATTCGACCACAGAGACATATGGAAATATCGAGCCATACGAATTATAATTCTACTAATTATATCGAACATTCGTCAACTTAGCACAGATCCTGCGCGGAGAGAATTGTCTTTTAAACTTTACCATGAAAATCACGTATGAATTTTAGGGGAGTTTCTTGAAATTTGACTATATAGTACATTTGCTAGTAGAATTTCCAAAAACTCTTATGAAATTCTTCGAAATGCCACGGTGTCCCACGATTACATGATTTTCCGGTAAATTTGAAGAGAAAATTCCCTCCGCGTGTAATCAATGCTTTCTAATTATTATCTAGATTTGTCAGCTAAATTATTGTTACGATACACATCTCGTGTATCAACACAATTTCTATCTAACGATCGTTTAGGAGTTGAGTAACCGCGCAGGATTGCATAATCGATAAGCTCGCGAGTGGAATACGGCGTTGCACGCGTCATCGTCCGATCTCGCTTCGCTCGGATTAAGTGACTTTTCAGCGTATTTATTCGGTGTATTAGCACGTAGAGATACGTAGTATTTTTTTTTCTGTCCGACGGCGGTCTTACCTGCGCGACTTGAGCGTGCGCGGGATTTGCATAACAGAAAGAAGGCGTTACCGCGGCCGGCGTTAAATTTCAGGCATCGCTGCGCTCGGCTTTCTGTCCCCGCGGACTTTTCTCGCGTCTCTCCGGTAATTACCGTCTACCCTATCGAGGCATTTCGAGGTGCACGCGGTGCAATAATGCGTCGCCGGATTGTCTGTCGCCGCGTTCGCGCTATCGGCGCGTTTTATCGCCATCGATACCGGACTTTCGCCTTAGGCGGTGAGACTTCAACCCGGATGAGTTATGCCGCGATCCAAAGTGACATTCATACGTGCATTAATGGATTATCTACACGTCCCGCGGCTCAAGCGGGCCCGGCGATTTGCATTGAATGCGTCAAGTGTACGACAATTTGCTCGCCGACTCTAATTTAACCGTGTAATTGACTCCGTGACGAAATCACGTAACAACGAACAGCGAAATGCCGCCGGTCCCTATTAGCATAAAGCGATTTTCCCGCGAAAATCCTAATCGCGACATTTACGCCCGCGTTATCGGCCAATCGGCCGCGAAAGTCGGGCGATTGTGCTCGCGAGATTGTTTAACGCAACAATCGTGAAATCGGTCGCTCGCCGAATCCAACAATCGCGATATACTTAAAAGTACGCGCGGCCCCTCAAGCGGAGCAATTTTCCGCGTGGACGGGTATTCGCCGCCGAGGGACGTAATTAACGATAGTCTCCGTCATAATCGATCTCTGGCCGGGGATTTATCTGGCGATCTGGTGGTGCACTTAGTGCTCCGCGCTGATTAAGTAATCGCCACGTTCGGCCGAACCGACGTGTTTTTACTCTTCCTCTTTCTCGCGCATACCGACGAGGTAGACTGACGTGTGTCCCGAAAAATGTTAAGAGGAGACACTAGCCAGCGGAGTGGTGACGGGGAGAGCAAAGTTGGGATATCGCGACGACATTTTGCAGAGGAGTGCCGACCCGTTACCGCAGGCAATAAATCGATCTCGCGTCTCTCCACGGGTCTCTCTTTCGCGAGTCGCAGGAGCGGAAGAGCGCTTCGCGATCCCTACACTTTTCTCGCCCCTTTCCCACGCTGTCGTCGACGTCGCGTCGCCGAGGGCCGACAAGCGTGACGATTTCGTGCGCTTTTTTCCCAATATTTCCAAATGCAGCGAAGAGACGAGCGTTTGCTCGTTTAACTCGCTCGCGGTATTCATGGGGCGAGCTCGGATTCCGCATTATGCCGTTTAACTCGGGAGGGAAGGTTTATGCGCGTACGCAAATTGAACGATACAATGCGAACGAGGCGCGCTCGCCTCGCTCGTACCCGCGACGGGCAGGTTTCTCGTTATCCCGTTTAATGACGCTCCGATATTCAAATCCGCGAGCGAGGTCTGGAAACTCGAGTCGCACGGCGTCGCTCCGGGACGAAGACGGCCTTTTACGTGAAACTTGAGAAACGCGATACAGTCGGCCATCAGTCCGCGGGCCGCGGCGGCAATTCCCGCGCGCGCCAATTGTCGGCGCGCGAGATAATGGAAAACTTATCCACGCCCGCGATCTACCACAAATTGGAATTGGCTCGCTCACCTTGGCCTACGTGCATTCGAGCGTCGGTCAAGTCGGGGGGGATAACTATGCGCATGCGAAAATTCCAGATCGCAATTTCGCGATAGCGCTTCGAGGTGCGCGACGGAAATTGATGGAAATGGACGCTGGTGCGCGGCTGTTATGACGACGACATCGATTCGCACTGTGCGCCGGCGGAATTGAATTTTTTTTTATTGATTGTGTAAATTGCGAAACGCGGCTCGTGATCGTGATTGTAAAAAACAAAGAATGGTGTGACGTGCCGCTTAAAGTAGGCCAACGGAACCGTCCATTGCCCGGCACTGGGGTGAGGGCGAAAGGGAGGGTCGATGTAGCTTAAAATCAATAATCTTGACCGCAATTAGCCGTTTAACTTTGGGACGATGTAATTGGGATGAGCCCAGGGTTGGCAAAATTCCACATTTTTTGGATAAAGTCTATGCCAGTGGTAAAAACCGATATTTTCCGGAAAATAACCGGCAAAAACTGAGTGGCGATCGTGGCGCAGAGGATTGTGCGCTGGTCTGGTAATCCGAAGACCCGGGTTCAAAACCAAACAAAAACATTGTTGGTTTTTCGTTCGATCGCCACATAGTGAAGTGGATATAGAGAGAGGTGTTATAAGAGGTTTGGG